AAATACGAAGTTTGGCGACCATGTCTGTATGTGACCACGTCCATCGCCACCTTCCCGGTGGTCAATTTTTAGAAAATTGAGTAATTAACTGTCTAAAGTAGTGCCAAAAAATCTGCAATTTTGTCAGATTATAGGTCTCAATGAGGACTAACTCTGTGCAAAATTTCAGCTCGATCGATGTAATAGGTTTGGAGAAAATGCGATTCGTTTTTAAATCGTTTTCCACAAATATCTTCGAAACTAGTGAACCGATTTCAATTTTTTTGTTTTCAAAATATTCGTTTCGACGCCTTTTATCTAAATCAATCAAAACATCTATACTAGTTCGTACAAAGTTTTCGAGATATTCCCGTTTTTCCGTTTTTTCATAAAATAAATTTGTAAACACTCTAGCTTGTGCAAAAATCGAAATATCAACGTGAAATTTAGACAGAAAATATATGTATACCTGCTCATACGAAGTATTCGAAAAATTAGAATTTTGATAGTACCCATGAAGGCAGCAGTAACCATCTGAAATTTTCGCTGCGAGTTGGTGTTCTGAAGCTATAAAATTTTGTAATATTTCAAACCATTCGCCATCAATGTATTGATGGCGAAAAAAAATAAGACATCGCTCAGTGACATACTCACTGTCACAAGGAGCGCTATTATATGCTCGATGTCCCCTGCTTGTTTCTCTGTGTATTTACTGTTAATGACATACATCATCTGACAATGAGTGTAGTTGTGGCAATTATTGAGTCTGTTAGAAATAATTGAAATGGTTGACTAATGGGAGAACAAATGAAAAGGTTGATATTCAAGAAAAATAATTGATTGAGACGAACAGCACTGAATATATCAGCTCGTTAATACAACAGATTGCAATTCTATTCTATAATCACTGGAAATTAAATTTGCAAAGTCCGTCATGAGGGACCACATTTGATATTTTTGTTCATTCCGATATTCCAGAACTTCCCCCTAATATCAAATATTTAATTCTCTCAAGCTATGACAAATTATTATTCTTGTATTATCACAGTTCAAAATCATAAAACAATCAGAAAGCGAATAGAACGTTTACGATGAAAAATCCATCTCCTTTTAAAGTATGAATGAGTTTTATCGAGTGATCTAATTCATCTTGAAGTTGTAGGAGAATGATGTATCGAGCTATGACAGACGCTAAATTTTCAAAAAGTGACATTGCAACTAAAATCTCGAGAATCCCATCCCGTATCCCACTGATTTCCTCATAATTCAATAAGAAGGTCAATCAAAGCTATAAATTGCAGTTCAATCATTGCACACGAATCTTAAAAATTCGGGTCATTGCGATAATCAATATTCAGGTTCAATTTAAAATTCAAACAAATCGTGAAATTTCTGTCTTATTCACATTTGGAACTTATCAATTCACTTGAATTCTAAGTGAAACTTGGAATTGCATAACCATTTTTCCTTTAAATTGAGTTCAATTGCTATTATGAAAATCTCTGCAAGTTTGTCCATGAAATTTCAAGTTTTTCCAACACTGTTAATGGAAATCAGGAAAATGCAAGTGAATATATTCTTAAATTTTCAATTTAGTAAGAATTCTGCGTAATTTGGTACTGAATATTCATGTTTTAAGTAAAAATTCAAGTAAGCTGGGGAATTTCCGTCCTCTTGCTGCTCAAGAATTTGGAACACTGAAATTGGAAATTTTTTTTTTTTCCGTTAATCGAATTTAAGGATTTTCATCCCACTGTCCGTAAAATATGATTACGGACATTGTGAAGAAAAATTATGTTCGTCACTCGGGCGAAAACAACTTTTATGTCATTAGGCCCGATAAACCGCGATTCTAACCTTGCTTGGCTCGGTTAGATCGCGGTTTTCAGGCCCAACGACATAAAATCTCGTATGTCACACGGCGATAAAAGCATTATCTCAAATATGGAACATCGTGCGCCCAATGACATTAGAACTTTGAGAGACGGTGAAAGGTTAGGAACTCAAAGTTATAAGGATATTTTTCTAGAAAAATGTCAACAAATTCAGATTATAATTGAAAATTGAAATTGTGATGCAAATTTTATTATACAAAGAAACTCTTACTAGTGAACAAACTTAAAAATAAGTGATATCGATCACATGAACACATAACTCGACTTTCTTCGTATATGAATTTGTCAGAACAATTTAACAAGGAATAGAAACATAAATGTCATTATATTTTCAACTTATCAATTATTGATATAGTTTTGACTGAACCACTCCGGCATGTGCTAAACGAAAACATCAGTGTTCCGTCGGTTGGAAATGCCGCGAAAACCCAACCCAATTGGCGGAACACCCATATATTGATAGAAATAAGAACTTTCGGATAAAATGAATCCAAAAATATCAAAAGATGAAGCTTTTGGGGTCAATATTAGTCTGGACTTACGGCATTTGATGATTATTAAAGTAGCTCTACCCTTAGGAGATTATATTTCAATTCAAAGATTTTTAAAAACTGCAACAAATCGCCTAAAAACTCTGCGTGATTCGGAATCGTAATTTTTTTCCTCATTTAATTGTCGTTCAAGTTTTTATAAATGAAAATGTTGAAAATTCATTATTTAACACAGAGTCTTATGTGAAAAACGCTAAATTTGACACAGCTCCAGTTAAAACAAAAATTAAAATCTAATTTTTTTTCCTAAAAATGAGAAAAAAATAATAAAAAATATTGGCACCTGTTAGATAACGATTTATTGTTTTTTTTATTATTAACAATTTCCAACCAGAATCACGGGAGACTGTGAACAGGAGTAGACGTGGCAACGACGGCTCGGTCAGCTGTCACTTGGCGGGACCTCTCTCACCCGTCACATTATCCTACAATGTTGCCACTAATTTTTCCAAGCTAATCAGTTGAAAATCTATTTATTCATACTTTTATTGAACACAATTAATAATGAAATAATTCTTATGCTTATGTCCTTTATAAATTATTTTAATAATCTAGACATCAAAAAAATTATTTTTAGAATCGTTTTTTTTCAAAAGCACTCAACGAGTCCAGCCGTAGGGGTAGAGCTACTTTAACCCAAGTAACTTCGTTCGGCACGTTAGCGGTCACACTGTCACTGTCATCTGACTACTCACACGTCGCAAAATGGCTGAAAATAGCAGCTGGCAGAATTCATTTCCATTATTGAGCGGGAAATAGCAGCTAAACCAACAAATATATTTTCATATCATGGATGGAAATATCGACTTGATTTTAAAACGAAATAGATTCGATAGATAGGTAATATTCCAGAAATCTGGAAAAATATTCAAGTGTTCCATTAATTGGTGGGCGGGGGGGGGGGGGTGTTCCNGGGGGGGGGGGGTGTTCCGCAAGTGGACTGTTTACCCCATTTATTTATCATTTCTTTTATGCATCAAGACATCACACTACATTCGGGACATGTTATCTATTTTATTTCTAAACGACCAAAAATGAATAATCGGCTTGAAGAATGTCAAACATCACTCTGTCTGACAGTTCAAAAAAACATGAAAATTTTTTGTAGAGTTTGCGCTTTTGGATGAATATCTTCAAGGTCGTTCTCCTGAGAATTCACAGAAAAAATATCATCAAAAGTAATGGTAGTTAGTATGGCTCCATGACTAATAAACACAAAGACATTTGAACATGAAAATTGAATACACAATAATTCATAACACAGACAACTGAACACAAATAAATTGAACACAAAACCTATTCAACACTGAGAAAATTCAACACATATTAAATTAATCATTGCACGGAGAGAAATATTCAATAAAAATTACGTATCCTTTTCGTAATTCCGGAGCGAAACGTGGTTGTAGGAAATTTTACGGAACTGTCACGGAATTTTTCCGGAGCGTTCCGTAATTTTTATCTGAATCTCTTGTCAAAAATTACGATACCGTCACTTAAATTTTCTGAGTCGATTCCGTAATCGGTGAGTGAAGTGAGAGTTCCGTAATTTTTACTGAACATTTCTCTCTGTGTGGATATTTGAACACAAAGTCGTCATCGCACTTTGTTGAACAATAGAAAATTCGATAAACTTAATAACTCACATCTAATCCTATCACACAACATCATCCTTACCATCATAACATTCCTAAGCCGTATTATATTGTTTACAATTCAATATGTGCAATCCCTCGTAGACAATTTATAATATCAATCTCTTCACTGGAGCTGACCACCACTTTCTTTACCATGATTATTATGCAACAAATGATACAAATAACTTTGGCTAATTGATTGTGGTTTTCCTCTTTGACTCAAAACAAACTGCAGCAGCATTTTGAAGACCGCATGACCAAGGCTAATGCCTCCAGCGCACTGATTATACATTCTTACTATTACTTGGAGAATTTATCTTTTATCTGCTTACGTCTGTTGTTTTTATACACGGAAAAAAAAACTTGAATTAAGTATAAAATATGCTTGAATCACGTATATTTTATACTCAATTCAGGTATTTTTTTTTCCGTGTATAGAACGAGAATGATTAGAATTATACGGGTTTAGTAGTAAATTTGTAATAAATTTGTCTCTTTTAATGAGAGTTGAATTTCCCCTGTGTTGAATAGGTTTACTGTTCACATTATTTGTGGTCAATTGTCTGTGTGATGAATTGACGTGTTCAGATCAAATTACTATGTGGTAATTAGTCCTGTCACCATTAGTATAAAGAATGTATAAAAATTAGAGATAGGTTTCTAAAAATTAAGGATCTATTTCTAACAATTACAGAAATATTCCTAAAAACAAAAACTTTTGTTTTCTGTATCACCCGTTACTCTCCATGGAATTGTAACTTTTTGCTGATAGTGAACGATGCACTCAAAAATTTCAATCAATTTTATAATTAAGTAGTGGCATTAACAAGCACCATTAACTGCACAATTCACAAAACTGTTTTCTCCCCAATTTGTCCGTCCCATTATCGGATGGACACGTTGTAAACTAATGGCTTGAAACATTCTACATAAACTAGGTGACGGGTTGATTCAGCATCGTGAACTCGAGCACGTGATGAGGGCCTGCATGGAGGAGAATGGTATGAGATTCAGTGACGAACAGATTGAGGACTTAACGCTTGCCCTCTTCGAGGATGCGGATCAGGGTAACAAGGGTGCTATCACGTTCCAAGCATTGAAGAAGCAGTTGGAGAAACACGAGGGTCTCCTCGAGAATCTATCAATCAGGTAAGATGCGACGAGGATCAAGTGAGACAGGGGTGAAAGGAGTCGTTATCGATCAATCGAAAGTGGCGTCCCTCTCTGCCCTGTCTCCACAGCCTCCAATCCACGAAACCTACGAATTAAATTTATCTTCATCTCCATTCCGTCTATTCGATTTTCCGATTAACATGATTATTATTTTTCTCCTCCCTCTTTCAATTCTGCTGTCTGGAAAGCTTTATGAATTTTAGACGTCTTTCATGCCGTTGAATTGGATCTGATAATCAGGAAGTATTGAGTTGTGGAATTCGGTGGTGAAGTGGTAAAACGAGATAAATTAATCTGATTTCTAAGGCGGTTCTTGAAGCGGCATCGGTGTACAATAGGGAATTATAATTGGTGAAAGTAAAGATGTTGACGTTGTTGATAGAGCAATTATTTTGAAATTAGAAACCTCTTAAGTCCTGTCATTAGTTTCAAACATGATTATACATGTAATGTATTTATATTTTATGTAATGTCCCGCTAAAGAAAAACACATGGATAGACGGAATTTTTCAATAAATATGCGTACAGTTATTATTGCTAATAAATTTGCAATTTGCTTTACAAGGATTCTTCCTATGTTCAATCGTTATTTGACTATTCCCCTCTTTTTTCATGTAATATCATTGTCAATGTGTCATACATTGAAAAGACATCAAAATTTTTGCGTATTATAAAAAAACAAATATTTCAAAAAAAAAGACCGCACACACGTACGTACATGCATGGACGTACAGACAACATATAAAAATCGCATCTCCGCACTTTTTAGATCATATTTAGTTCCCCTAACACAAAAAATCGAAAACTTAATTTTGAACAATTACAAAGTTTCCATTTGGGGAAGAATTAAATCAAACTAATGTTTTCGATAATCAAAAGTTCTAGATAATAAAAAAAATTGTATACACCCAGAGAAATGACGCATTTGAAAATCTTCATTTGATTCTTTTTGTATTCGTTTCAACAATATTTTTATCGACGTTCCTTCCATCTGAGTCTCTGATTAACAGGAATTATCTTTCTCTCTCCATATTTCAGTTCTGCAATTTGTACAGCTTTATGAATTTCATACGTCTTCCATGCCATAATGAAGTAGTAAAATGAGATAAATTAACTTGACTTCGAAGTCGTTTTTGAAGCAGCATCGGTGCACAATAGGGAGTTGAATTTGCGAAAATGAAGATTCTGACGTTTCTGAATGAGCAATTAGTCTGACATTGGAAACCGATTAAATGCTGTCATTAGGTTCGAGCACGATTATACATATAAGGTGTTCTGTCCTGCGTAGGGATCAGAATCCCAGAATTATAAATCATCTATTGGTGGAAAAACAGGACGATAGACGTCACTTAGCGGAACTCAGTGATGAAAAAATCTTTATTTGAACTTTTTGTGTTCAATTCAGTAATATTTTTTATCTTCATCTCCGTTCCTTCTCTCCGATTCTCCCATTAACATGATTATCATTTTTCTTTCTCCCTCTGTCACCTCTGCAGTCTGTAGAGCTTTAGGGATAAAAAAACATATTTCATATTGTTGAATTAAATCTGATAATTGGGGAGGGTTGAATTGTGAAATTCAATGGTGAAGTTGTAAAACGAGATAAAATAACTTCACCTACAAGTCAGTTCTTTAAAGCGGAATCGGTGCCCAATGGGAACTTATAATTGAGGAAGTGAAGGTGCTGACGTTCTCGAAACAGCAACTAGTTTGAAATTAGAAACCTGTTAAATCCTGTCATTAGATTGCAGCATGATAATACAGGTGAAGTGTTTATATTCCCCCCACTGTCCTGTTGAGAGAAAAGATCACATTAAATTAATGTCTTCGCGAATTCGAAGTTCTAGATAATACAGAAAATAATATAGACCCGGAAAAATTACGTGTTTGAATCCGATAAAAATATCTTCATTTGAATTCTTTATACTCATTTCAACAATATTTCTCTGATTAACATGATAATTAATTTTCCTCTCCCTCTTTCCGCTCTGTAGTTTCTAAAGCATTAGATATGAAAAACATGATTTAAATCCGATAATTGGGGAGGGTTGAGTTGTGAAATTCAATGATGAAGTAGTAAAACGAGATAAAATAGCTTGACTTCAAAATCAGTGCTTTAAAGCGGAATGAATATACGATGGGAACTTATAATGGAGGAACTGCAGGTGTTGACGTTCTTGAAACAACAACTAGTCTGAAAAGAGAAACCTGTTAAATCCTGTCATTAGGTTACACAGATCAGGTATTTATACTTTCCCACTGTCCTGCTCAGGGAAAAAAACCAAGTAAATTACTGTCTTCAAGAATTGGAAGTTCTAGATAATATAGAAACTAGTATAGACCTGGAAAAAGGATGCGTTTGGAACAAATAAAAACATCTTCATTTGAATTCTTTGTACTCATTTCAACAGTATTTTCATCTTCATCTCCATTTTTTCTATTCGAGGCTCTCATTAACATGATTATCATTTTTCTCGCTCACTCTTTCAGATTTGCAGTCGCTAGAGCTTTAGGGATGAAAAACATATTCCATAGGACCGACTGTAATGGTTAGGTGGGTGAGGTGTTGCTCCGCCGGACATCCAAGCTAAGCAGCGTTGAGCTGGATTAGTACTTGGATGGGTGACCGCTTAGGAACAACTCACTCGCACAAAAATTACGGGCGGTAGGCACGGTGTAGCGGCCTAGTGTCTCCATCTAGTCAGTGTGACAGATGGATACATTAGGGCACTGCACAATCGGCCGGCTGTGCGACTGGGGTTTTACATGGTTTCCCGTGCAGTCCTAGCTCGAATGGGACACAGCTAAGAGTAAGACGGCCATGATACCGCAGATAACAAAGAGAGGAAAAGTAAAGGAGGGGAGGCAGGCTAGAGGAGGGGTTTCAAATCGAGAACTACTTCGATAAAAACCAATGAAATAGAAAAATTAAAAAAATACATATTCCATAGGTGAGACCGGGCCAAAATGAGACCCCGCGGGGCAAAGTGATACCCCAGGGCAAAACGAGATCCCTGTTTTTTTAGTTTTTCAATGAAACAAATGAGTCCAGTGTCCAGATCACATAAATAGGAAAATAAAATAAATTTATGTCGCGCCGTGCAATAAGTCGAGTTTATCGCGCGCTGCGCTTCGCGCAGCTTGCTCAGAACTCGACTTCTGCACGACTTGACATAAAATATTATAGAGCACTCGGTAATAAATTTCGTTTTCAACGAATGTGTAGTTTACAGGCCGAGCCGAAGGCGAGGTCTGTACACACATTCGTTGAAAACGAAATTTGTGCCCTTGTACTCTAATGTACTATTTCGAATCAAAAAAGGAACTGCTATCGAAGACAATCTCTAATTGTCGTTATGAGTAATATTCTAGTTTTGACAGGAAGATTAAAATTTTTTGTCTTATACAGATATTTCATCTTACAGTTATGAATGTTTCTAAGTTTATCGTAACTCAACTTTTTTATCCATTTGAAATTTTTTTGGTTGAAAATTTCCAATACACTTTCAAGGCATTTCTATCACTTTTTCGTTTCACTCAAATTTCAAGGAATTTCGTCATTGAAAATTCAGAATCTCAGGGGAAAATCAATGAGAATTGCAAATGTGAATTTAATTATTCCCTGAAACTCAATAGAAATCAGGAAAATTTTGGTAAATGTAATCTTCAATGTTCGATTAATTGGAAATTCAGCATAATTTAATACTAAATATTCATTTTTTCGTAGAAAATTCTAATAAGTTACGGAATTCTCGTCTTATGGCTGCTTAAAGATTTCAGAGGTTTCTGTGAAAACTGAAATTTTATAATTTTTTCACCCTAAAGCGCATTTAATATTTATCTTCTGACAATTACTAGTCGGCTGTCTATAAAATTTCCAGTCCACAAGGATGAATCTTCGTCATAGTCAGGGTTATTTTGGCATTTATTAATTAATTATTATCAATAATACTAGACTAAGAATTGAGCGCTAACTTAACCAGAATGCTTCTATTCTTATTAACTTCCATTTAGAATTTTTTCAGATTATAATCTTTGAGATCTGAATTATATTGATACTTTAATTCTACTAATAATGGGGTATTTCATTAGTAACTACTGAAAAATTAGTCATTTGTGTAAAATCTCAAATTTTACAGAGGTCCCATTTTGTCCCGCCATCCATTTTGCGGCGGAATCTCATTTTGCCCCGGTTTTCTCTACCGTTGAATTATATCTCATAATTGGGGAGGGTTGAGTTGTGAAATTCAATGGTGAAGTAGTAAAACGAGGTAAAATAACTTGACTTCGAAGTCAGTTCGTTGAAGTGGAATTGGTGCACAATGGGGACTTATAATTGAGGAAGTGAAGGTGTTGACGTTCTTAAAACGGCAACTCGTTGAAAATTAGAAACCCGTTAAATCCGGTCATTAAGTTACAGCATGATAACACAGATGAGGTATTTATATTTCCCCACTGGCCTGCTTAGGGAAAAGATCAAATTAAATTACTATCTTCAAGAATTACAGGTTCTAGATAATATAGAAAATAGAATAGACTCGGAGAAATGACGGGTTTGAAACGAATAAAAACATCTTTATTTGAATTCTTTGTATTCATTCCAACAGTATTTTCGTCTTCATTTTCGTTTTTTCTATTCGTTGTTCTGATTAACATGAATATACGTTTTCTCGCTCCCCCTTGCAACTCTGCAATCTATAGAGCTTTAGGGATGAAAAACATTTCCCATATCGTTCAATGTAATCTGACAATTGGAGAGGATTAAGTTGCGGAATTCGATGGTGAAGTAGACAAACGAGACAAATTAACTTGACTTCGAAGTCAGTTCTTTCATTCGGAATCGGTGCATAATGAGGACTTATAGTTAAGTGAAGGTGTTGACCTTTTTGAAACAGCAACTAGTCTGAAATTAGAAACCTGTTAAATCCTGTCATTAGGTTGCAGCATCATAATACCCGTGAGGTGTTTATATTTCCCCACTGTCCTGGTTAGGAAAAAGATGACATTAAATTAATGACTTCAAAAATTATAAGTTCTAGATAATACCGAAAATAGTATAGACCCGAAAAAATTACGTGTTTGAATCCCATAAAAACATCTTTATTTGAATTCTTTGTACTCATTTCAGCGATATTTCCATCTTCATCTCCGTTCCTTCTACTCTATTCTCTGATGAACATGGTAATTAATTTTCCTCTCCCTCTTTCAGACCTGCAATTTCTAGAGCTTTAGAGATGAAAAACATATCCCATATTGTTGATTTCAATCCGATAATTGGCGAGGGTGGAGTTGTGAAATTCAATGATGAAGTAGTAAAACGAGATAAAATAGCTTGACTTCAAAGTCAGTGCTTTAAAGCGGAATCGGTGCACAATGGGAACTTATAATTGAGGAAGTGAAGATGTTGACGTTCTTGAGACAGCAACTAGTGCGAAATTCGAAACCTGTTAAATCCTGTCATTAGGTTGCAGCATGATAATACAAGTGAGGTGTTTATATTCTCCCCACTGTCCTGATTTGGAAAAAGATCAAATTAAATTACTGTCTTTAAGAATTATAAGTTCTAGGAATTTAACGAAATAGTAGAGACTCGGAAAAATTACACACTTAAAACGAATAAAAACATCTTTATTTGAATTCTGTGTACTCATTTCAACAATATTTTCATCTCTTCTCCGGTTTTTCTATTCGATTCTCCGATTAACATGATTATTTTTTTCTCTTTTGCTTTTTCAATTCTGCGGTGTGTAGAACGTTATGAATGCCATACATCTTTCATATCGTTGAATTCAATCGAGATATCGATAGAAATCAAAATTAAATTGAGATCACTGTAAAAATTTCGATTGACGAATTGCCAAATTGTTTATAACTGAGCAGCCGATACTTGGTGACTCTATTCCCGAAACTGGTACGAATATTTATACGTTGGGTATTTTCTAATTTTAATTTTCGGTCACGAAAAGTTCAAATCTCTAATTTTGAGTGGTCTGAGACAATTTTTACTTGCAGAATTTGATTTCTAAGGATAAATCGATTTATATGGAGGAGTTCTTAAGCGTGAAATACGCTGAGTGAAACGTAAACCACGTTTCATTTTGGTGTAATTCACCTTGTTATTTTGACCGTAAAATACGCCTTTTTAAAGCCTGAATTCCGATTTTCATTAGGAAAAAAAATCTACTGGACAACATATTGGCATTAAGCAGGGTTGGGCAAGTAAAATACCACCGGTAATTTATCAAATTTTCTATATGTAAAAAAATAAAAATCAACCAAGGAGGTTGTAGACCTTTTTGACCGCAAGTGTCGCTATCGTGCGTGATTAAGAACAACACAATTGTTCCAGCACGAGAACAAGCCCGTTAGCAGGGGGGTTGAGTTCCTATGTCATGTGCAAGTCTTGCAACGATGAAACATCGTAATCATACCTTGAGAGACCTGAGTGGAAATTGCGTCAGGCCCACCTGAAGCACCATCAGAACTTGATCAGGTTTTTGTAAGGTTCGACTGATTCGGTGATTCTTGATGAGAACCTGACCAAGTTCTGATCCAGCAGATCGGATCCGAAAAACTACAGGCGGGTTCAGATCAAGTTCTGATCAGGTAGAGACGAATCAGATGATGCTTGATGAGAACCTGACCTACTTTTGATCCAGTAGATCGGATCCGAAAAACTGCAAGATGATTCAGATCAAGTTCTGATCACGTAGGCACGATCTCACCCTGAGGTCGGCTGCCTGACCCCAATTTGATTAAATTCGGATTTGATGTTTTTGATCGGCATTTGAACGGGGTCAATTGAAGAGAAAATGATCAGATTCAGATCCGGTTCATCTGACATTAATTTTAATAAGTTTTTCGGATAATTTAATTAACTATTATTATACTATTCAAATTAAGTTTTATCAACCATTATCAATAATTATTTTCATTCTTTAAAAAGGTTCATTATACTATAATTAAAATAAATTTAATTAATTTAATTAATTTAATTTAATTAATCAATTTAATTAACAGCCAGCCCTTCTCAAATGTACAGAAGGGAGGGATGATGATGCCGTGAATACGTATTAGAGGAGTATCAAACTTATACGCAAATGATCTTGAGAAAAAAAATCACGAAATGTCTATTCATTTATTAGTGTTATTGTTATTATCATTATTATTATTCATTAATGAAATAAATAAAAATTTAATTGAACATATTTTATCTCTGAGAATACACACGCACATCCGCGAGATCAGGAATAATCGTAAATTCAACGAATACCCCGATACAAATCATATAGGCAATGTACAGTTTACTCAATAGTAATAGCGCGATAGCGTAGTGGTTAGCGCAGTGGTCAGGTCTGACCTGATCCAAACTTGATCAAGACCTGACCGGAATTTCCACTCTGGGAATCAAACATCACGCGGGTCAAATGTCGCAAATGCACGGAGAGAAATATTCAATAAAAATTATGTATCTTTTCCGTCATTGCGGAGCGAAATGTAGTTGTAGAAAATTTTACGGAACTGTCACTGAATTTTTCTAGAGCGTTCCGTACTTTTTATCTGAATCTCCTGTGACAAGTTACGATACCGTCACTTAAATTTTCTGAGTCGATTCCGTAATCGGTGAGCGGATTGTAATAAGTTCCGTAATTTTTTCTGAATNGGATACCGTCACTTAAATTTTCCACTCGGGGAATCAAACATCACGCGGGTCAAATGTCGCAAATGCACGGAGAGAAATATTCAATAAAAATTATGTATCTTTTCCGTCATTGCGGAGCGAAATGTAGTTGTAGAAAATTTTACGGAACTGTCACTGAATTTTTCTAGAGCGTTCCGTACTTTTTATCTGAATCTCCTGTGACAAGTTAGGATACCGTCACTTAAATTTTCCACTCGGGGAATCAAACATCACGCGGGTCAAATGTCGCAAATGCACGGAGAGAAATATTCAATAAAAATTATGTATCTTTTCCGTCATTGCGGAGCGAAATGTAGTTGTAGAAAATTTTACGGAACTGTCACTGAATTTTTCTAGAGCGTTCCGTACTTTGTATCTGAATCTCCTGTGACAAGTTACGATACCGTCACTTAAATTTTCTGAGTCGATTCCGTAATCGGTGAGCGGATTGTAATAAGTTCCGTAATTTTTTCTGAATATTTCTCTCCGTGTGATCAGCAAGACAATCAGAAGGTTCCAACGAATATGAGGGTCAGCTGAGAGAAGCGCGCGCAGGACAATCACGACGATCCAACGATCATGAGGGTTAAACGAAAGGAACAGGAAGAAAAATTGTCGGGCATCTATAACTGGAGACATGATTCTCGGGAGGTATGACCCTTGCAATGTATAAACCTTGCGACGTTTGAACCTCGCCGTTTGAGCCTCGTGAGACAGGACAATATGACCCTCGTGAGGTATAACCCTCATGAAATTCAGTCACAAGGGTTGCTGTAGGGATAGTTTGGTCAAGGTTTTTTTTACCAGTTATTTACCTTTTTTACCATTTAGGAGTATTACCAGTATTCTACTATGTGCACTACATTAGCAGTATTCTACTATGTGCTGTAGAAAACCCCGATTTTCAGTGAACGACCCAATTCTGGCGTTGACTGTAAATAACGTTCAGAAACCCGTAAATTACGCTTACGTTGAAATTTTTCTGCGTGTTCAAATAAACCATTTCTCTGGGTGCACAATTTTTAAAAGAACAGGGTATCCTTTTTACTTCTTTTGCGGTTCCATTTTAGATCAATCTAACACAAACCTTTCGAGCCCATTTCGCCTCGTAGTGCCCTATGTGAGCAGATCCACACCCAATCAGCAGGCCATAAAAATCGATGCGGAGGATTTTTGTCTTAATTATTAATATTTTTCAATTGTTCTTCTTCCAAAATTTTTGTCTAATCGCCCTCTTTTCAGAAAAAACATTGAGACGAAAATTCTTACATCGACTTTTTTATCCTGCTGATTTGGCGTGGATCTGCTCATACTAGAAAACAATTTAATCAAATGAACTCTCACGCAGTATAGATCGTTGGATGGTACCACCGAAGCCGCCACAATCCGACCGCACAGTATTGGGTTTCCTACGCTCCCTGAGGCCATATCAATTCACAAAACCATATTTAAAAAATAATTACGTTTTCATGTGCTTTCTGTCAGTTTTTTTTCTCATAAATTTCGCGCTCTTCGCATCAAGGATGTATCAGTACCGTCACGCTGGGGGTTTAGTCATGATCGCCAGAGCATGTGGTAAGTGGTCGAAATAACATATGGGCCATCATCACTTGTTACATCAATTTTCATTCGACAGGTCAGTGTTTAAATTTTGACTGCACCGTTATTCTCGTCCTTATGCTTCGTCAGTGCATAACGTTTTTACGAACTCATGGATTCAGTTCCATTTTACCACTTGATCACAATATTTATCTCCACAAAATGGTCGGAGTGACGATTGGAGTCTTGAGTATTGTTCACACCATCGCTCATCTACTGAATTTTGGTATGAAATGGTTATATCGAGTTGAATTTAATACATGAAGTGTCACAACGAGATAAGTCAACACGTATGAAGTATTTCAATAGAAAATTCTAGCGCATTCGCTAGGGAATTCCATCGAATCTCCCTTGGCAAGTCCATCAATTTTATTAACTTCTCGTGAAAATAATAATCGAAAAATTTGATGAAAAAATATTTATAAAAAAAATTGACATATCTTGATTTCTCAATTAACATAATAATCTTTTGCTACGATTTTCTCAATTGGAATGTATTTTTCTTCTCTGAATGAAAAATAAAATAAAAAATTTCAATCAAATATTGAAATAGAAGAAAAAAACTTTAAAAAGTTGCGCCCAAAAATTTCTGTGGAAAACATTTGAACAGAATAGGTTTCATAGAAAAATGGAAATCTCTTGATTGTTCTATGATGAATGTTCTGTTTGAAAAAGAAAATACATTGGGAAAGCCGCGGGATTTGTGATAAAATTACGCTCACCGTCTAGTTTTCGCTAAATACACGGAGAGAAATGTTCAGTAAAAATTACGGAACGCTCCGGAAAAATTCCGTGACTGTTCCGTAAAATTTCCTACAACCACATTTCGCTCCGGAGTTACGGAACAGATATGTAATTTTTATTGAATATTTCTCTCCGTGTACATATATGAGCATTCAAGGAAGAATGTAATTCGGAAGAAAAATCTTCTGGGACCTTTTCTTGGAAAATCAATCATCATTACGGTTTAATACTCAATGAGATCTGAAACCATTCACTACTTCACTATTGAGTTGACTTATTTCGTTTCACCATTTTTCTACTGAATACTACATCCGAAAACATTTCATAGAAAATCCTAGCGCATTTATCAGAAAATTCGTACAACTTCTGTTGAAAATTGTACCAGTTTATCACCGTTTCTATTGACGAATTCTGCAGTTTTTCTATACCTTTTTGATACGTTTTCGTATCGAGAAAATTAACAGAATTTGAACGTTCTATACACCTTATACTGTTGAGATTATCTCTACAGAAATTTCTTGGTCTGGATTTTCCAAGTTCTTTTACTTGAATCTTTTAATTTAAACATAATAAAATGCAGTGGAAAAAATTAGCTGATAAATGATTCACGATGGAAAATTTGTATAGAAAATATCTCAATAAAATAATTTTCAAGGAGAGACCGCAGTAAAATTTGAAAGTTGCAGGGGATTGTCTCTATCATACAGCTGGCTTTGGTACTTATTTTTTATACTGAAAAAGTAAGAAACAGGGGACAACGAGCATGTGATAGCACGCCATATGACAGTGAGCATGTCATTAACTGATGTCTTATTTTTTCTTTCGCCATCAATACATTGATGATGGGCTTTCGAATGGTCTGAAATATTACAAAAGTTTATAACTTTACAACACTAACAGCAAAAATTTCGGATGTTTACTGCCACCTCCATGGGTGCTATAAAAATTCCAATGCTTCGAATACTTCGTATGAACGGATATACATATTTTTTGTCCAAATTTCCAGTTGATATCTCGATTTTTGCATAAGCTAGCGTAATCACAACGTTTTTCATGAAAAATCAGAAAAACGGGAATATCTCGAAAACTATGTATGAACGGGTGTATACACAGCAAAAACGAATGTTTTAATTTCACACACTTTTTGTAGACATTTTTCAGCCACTAGCAAACGTCTGAATAAAATGAAAATTTGTCTGAATTTCAAACATGATAGTTAAGATTTTTGGTCACCTATTCGTCTGAAATTCAGACACATTTACATTTTATGCAGACGTTTTTGTCTTTGAAAAATATCTAAAAAAAGGTGTGTGAAATCATTCGTTTTTCCTGTGTATGTTTTAATGGATTTAAATAGAAGACATCGAAGCGAATATTTTGAAATTGAAAAAAAAAAAAGGAAATCGGGCTACTAGTTTTCAAAATAATTGTAAAGCGATTTAAAAACAAATTGCTTTTTCTCAAAAACTATTAGATCGATAGGGCTGAAATTTTGCGCAGAGTTAGTCCTCAGTAAGACCTACTATAATCTGACAAAATTTCAAATGTTTTTGTATTACTTTTCGCCGCTTAAATACTCAATTTTCTAAAAACTGACCACCGAAAAGGTGGCGATGGACATGCTCACCTACAGACATGGTCGCCAAACTTTGTATTTTTACGTTTCAGACCATTCTACATAATTTCCAATCAAAATTAGAGAATGTGAAAATCGAAGGATTGCAATGCTTCCATTCGAAAGCAAAAATTTGGACAAAAATTACCAAATAAGTGAAGTAATCGTGAAGCGAAACTCATTTTTAGGTCTTTTTCAACTGATAGAGGGGCAAAAAGAACGAGAGGATTTTTTTTTCAAAATTTTTATCTGAGCCATCTCTTTAGAGAAAAAATGAGAGAAAACTCCCCAGTATCGACTTCTTGGCCCGCTGAAAGGAATTTTGGTGTTAATTAGAGTTTGTCTTTCGCCGTAGTTTTTATTTTTTTCCGGGGGATAGGTGTTGAAGATGACCGCAAATCGCTATTATTCATGCAATTATGGCCCAAATGAGTGAATATTCAATTGAATATTCCCTACTACAATATTATTGTCTCTACCAATTCGGAGCAAAAAATCAAAAAAATTTTGGTGATTTTATGCCCGAAAAAAACACAATTAGATTTTTTTTCATTTTTTGAGTATAAAAAATGAGTCCGAAAATCATCAGCATGGTAGAGACACTTCTCTGCAACTTTCAAATTTCACCGTGGTCTCCTCTTAAAGAACGATCAAAATAAACTAAGAATTTTTTCTATAGAATATTTGGAATTCGGGTTTTCTATTCGTAAAAGGCGACGAAGAGCTGCGAAACTCTTTAGTAGAACTAGAAAAGCTAATGGAGTTTTCAATAAACATCCAATAGAATTTCCTAGTGATTGCCCTAGGTTTGCTATTGAATTCTTTGTACATGACTGTCATTCTCCATTGTATTAATTTTTATTATTGATCCATAGGAATGTTTGTGATCAACGATGAAGTATTAAATAGTTCCCACTACTCGATGTCAGAGTGGCTATTGACGAGTCGTCCAGGTCTCTTTGGTTTAGTAGGTGGTGGAGCTAATCCCACTGGCCTTGCCTTGATCATGATTCTGTTTGTAATGTCACTTTGCTCAATGCCTTTCGTCAGACGCGGTGGATCCTTTGAGGTAAAATTACACGTCTCTATCTTTTAATTAGATCTAGAGAAAAAAAAGTAGATCTAGAGGAGATGGTAGGATCAAAGAGGAGGACTTCCAAACGTTAAATAAGTGGAACAGTTAAAAAATAACATTTTTTTTCATCTGAACTAAATTACATACTGATTGAATAATTATTGAAAATTTGTTTTACTCTTCTAATATCTACACAGCGACGAATATACAGGCTTCCTCATTCTTCATTCAATTATTTTTTTGAGAATTGTGAGAGTAAGCGATTATCCCTGAAAAACATTAAAATTTTTTATTCCAGGGATTGAATTTTATACCGATAATAGTAGATGCACTGATAGCAATGAAAAGCCTCTCGAGAAATCGTAATTTACACATGTAATTATCATTAGAATGTTGTACGTGCGCAAAAATATTTCATAGAAAAACATAACTAATTCAATAAAAAATTCTATCAATTTTTGGACGATTCTGTTCAATGGACTATTGAATAAATAATACTCAATTCCATAAAAAGTATTTTCAATCAGCCAATTAATCGTCAATCTTCCAAAGTCAATTATTGATTGATAAAATAATTACGAATTGGAATATTTAATTGATGATTAATTTAAGGCCCGGCTCCACTATCTTCCGAACGTTATCTAAATTGATTTTTTTGTCTGATTTTTATCTCGAAATTCCAACTCAATGCCCTATCAGGGACACCCGAAAATTCTGAATTTCATTTTTTAAATAAATAAATAAATTCTGAACATTTTGAAAGAGCGTTTTTAATTACTATTGAGTATAATTGAGTATAATGAGTATAATTACCATGGCAAATGGCGGCCTGTCAGTTGCCACCATGGGAGAAGGAAAGACGAAATAATAAATCCTTTGTCGCAGCGCAACCAGACAATTGTACCGAAAAAAATCTCTTTGAAAAATTTGTAACATTTTAAAGAATTTTTTGATCACACTTTTACGATGAATTACTAATCACTTACGTCAATATCCTCCGTTGGTAATTGAATTGGCAATCATCTGTCACTTTTGTCGGGAATTGAAAGCATAGGAAAATCGCTCTTTCTTTCTTTTTTGCGCCCCCGCCAAAAGTGGCAGTTGATGGACAGTACAATTTTCAATTGAGGAGATTGGTGTAAGTGATTAGTTGTTCATCGTCACAGTGTGATCAAAAAATTCTTAAAAATATTACAAAATTTTTCAAAGAGGTTTTTTTCAGTACAATTGTTTGGTTGCGCTGCGCCAAAGGATTTATTATTTCGTCTTTCCTTCTCCCATGGTGGTGACTGCCCAGGTAAGAATTGACGATAGAAACAGGGCTCATCAAGCCCTGGACCAAGGCTCGGAAATGCTCAATCAGGGCTGGGGCTCAGCCTTGGATCAATCCTCCTTCGGCCCTAAAATGATAACCTCGTTTCAGGCTTAGTCCGCAAGGCTTGAACGAGGCTCGGTGCCAAGGCTTGATTCAAGCCTTGAATTACCACATTTTAAAGGCTCAATCGAGCTTCGGCTAAATAAACTGGAGTATTGTTTACAGATATTTGTATAAACAATTTCTTATTGCTTCATAACCCTTTTTATGAATTTAGAGTAACCTATGAAAGAGAGTGTGGTCGGACCGTACATCACTGTTGCTAAGCGTTGTTGGTGATTGTGATTGTCGGTTAATTAACAATAGATGGGAAAAAAATTATTATCATCATTAGTTTCTATTAATTATTCGTCCTGGATTATTACCGCGCACCTGGAAATTGAAATACAATGAAATCAAACATTTACAAATTTGCTCCTCTGAATAACTGAGCCTCGCCAACCCTGGGCTCATACAGGCTTGTTCTGATCGTCAACCTATATGTAATTCTTACCTGGGTGACAGGCCGCCATTTGCCACGGTAATTATACATTATTCATATCTCCTCTATTGAATTCATTCCTCAATGTTAATTAAAAACGCTCTTTCAAAATAACCAATTTTTTTTTACTTTTTTTCAATCCAAGCTCATAATTTTCGGGGGTCCCCGAGTAGAAATTTTAGTACTTGGCTGGTCAGGCCCTGGTCCGCTGTGCCGTAGAGAAGATTCGGCCCTGTTACGGTTACCACATTTTCCACAGGACCTGCTAGGAAATGTAACGCAAAGCATGATCAGGACCTGATTTGTAAACCTGATAAGGGCCGTGACAGGCGGCCTGGTTTCGCCCTTACCTGGCATAGACTTTGCTACAAATTAATAAATTGCTAACTGAATTATTAAATTGGGCCAAAAATGAATAATAAATAAATAAATAAAGACCCAGAATAGGCGGGTCGAGAAAAAAAAGAAAAAAAATCACTCAGAACGGGACTAGAACTAGGGACCCTCTGGGTAGTAGTTCTGTACCCTATTTTTTTAAACCATGTTTTTATTCAATTTTCACAACAGGACATTTATAACTCTTACAGCTATTTACATTAAAAAAAACAGGTATATAAAAAAATTAACGTCTTATATTGGTTTTAGTAAAGTATGGTCGCTTATTGACTTTCTAGTTTTGACTGGCTTTGTTTGTATTTCAAAGATTTTATATCGATTTTATATTATCTGCTCCATTTAGTAGCATTGTATATTTTGTTTAATACGCTCAAAAAAAAAGAAAGTAAAAGGAAAGAAAAACATAGGATTTCGTGTTTGTAGTTATCGTAATAAAAAAAAAGCGCTCGTGTAGTAGTTTTGTACCGTATCCACTCGATCACCGTATCATTCTTGAAAATGAGTGTTTTTTTTTAGCATATCAATAATAATCCCAATAAAATTGTAGTATCGAATTAGAGGACGTCTTTGGGCTTGTCGTCAGCATGCTGGCCCTATAAACCAGCGTCCCAGTAGCGCAGGTTCGAGTCCCGGTGATGAAAGATTTTTTCATCGCCGGAAAATGAACCCAGTGCATGTGGAGTTAGTTATGTGGAGTTAGATATAAGTTAGCTTAGAGGCAAGTGCGGGTAGGGAATTAGGCTGGGGTACCGCGCAGGTACTGGGACGGGTAGGTAAAAGACCACAACGGTCATACCATCTGGCACCACCCAATTTTTGTAGTATCGAATTAAATCTAGAATAATATCAATTAGTATAATTTTCCTGATCATCATCCCCTCTCCCCTCCGACCCACCCCCCTTTACCATTTCCACCCCGACTCTTTGTTTGATGAAAATTTTTCTAAGTCCCGTACGGCATGCCTTATCCGGACCTGGTCATTGCCGGATCACGTTCGCCATATTGAACTTATAGAATTTTCGAAGTTAAGGATTCCCGGCATACCTTACCTGGTCCTGATCATGGCCGGATCGAGTTGGCCGTATCCGGTATACTCAACAAGCACTCCTGTTCAATCAAAACAGGCTGAAAAAAAACCCGAAATTTCCTCATCAGACATGCCTGATGTAACCTTTGATTGTTCTCTATCACAGTACGCTCAAAAGGCCCTGACGGGGGCATGGTCAGACATGCCTGCTTAAAGTTAGGAATTTATTGGTAAGGTGAACATGCAATGGTCCTCTTCAGGCCCTGATCTGGCATGCCGTAATCAGGTATACCGTATATATACCGGAGCAGGATCTGCCTGATGAAATTTCTACTCGGGGATCTCTGAGTGACGAAGCATCTAGTTCAAATTTCGAGATGAAAATGGAATAAAAAAAGAAATCTAAATAACGTTCGGCAGATAATGGAAGCGGAACTTAATTTGAAGAAAAAACTTATTTGGTACTATTTAAGATTTATTTGATTCAAATAAACTTTATTTGATCCAATTAATTCATTTTTCTGGGTGAAGAAGAAATTTTTTACGTATTGCATATTTTTACACGATGTGTAAAAATATTAATTTACGTGCATATAATAAAAAATGGGAAAATTCGTAGACTGTAACATAAAAGGTGAGCACATCAAAGAGAAAACGCCCTATAATGACTGAAACTCGTAACAATGAGCTTTATTTTTATAACGAAAACTAGATATTCTATTGGTCACATCTGATGTACATACCATTCTGGATTCTCCTGATATTCCACGGTCCAAACTTTTGGAAATGGTTTGTTCTACCCGGTACAATATATATCGCAGAACGTATGCGCCGTTTGATGTGGTTACGCTCGCAGCGGGGTAAAACGTACATCAGTTCGGGTTTACTACTCCCTTCAAGAGTAACTCACCTGGTAATCAAACGACCTCAGAATTTAGATTTTCATCCAGGCGACTATGTCTTTGTGAATATACCTGTCATAGCCAAATACGAGTGGCATCCGTTCACCATCAGCAGTGCCCCCGAACAGGAAGGTGAGTGTTTTTCTTAAAATATTTTTGCTCTTTTTTTTGTTGTTCACATCTCATTCTTTTTCTTCCTTTCCCAATTTTTCTATTTCACTTTTCCTCGTTTTCTCCTCCCCCGTGTACGGGGGTTTCACTCACAAAACCCTTGCGATGCCACTTTAAAAGTTCCCTCTTACAAGTTCTCTACAGAGGAAAACGTTGGTGTTGGGGATATAAAACGAAGAACGGCGAGCAAAAGGGATGAGCGGGATGGAGAGTAAGGGGGAAGGGGTAAAACTTTTACCCCAAGGGTGGATTGAAAACGTACATCCTCAAGCAGCAGCCGGCAGGTGTTAAGATTTCTTTTTCTGATGTTGAGGGAGTAGTGCTAGGGAAGAGGAGGGATGGAGGAAAATCGAAAAGTTCACGGTTATGCGGGTGGGGTCAACGAATTAAAAAGTCAGATCTAACAAGACTTGTTAGAATACCGAACTTTGTAAAACGGTTGCTGGGGGGAGCATAGCAAATTTTATTTTGATTATTTCTTTTTTAATGAGTATGCGAATTCTTCATGCCTCAATGAATTTTTTTTACTCTCATTTAAAGTACTCTCTTCATTATTATTTTTAGAATACATGTGGCTGCACATAAGAGCTGTTGGAGAATGGACCAACAGTCTGTATTCATATTTTGAGAGAAAACAGCTGAAGCTTGAGCGTGGTGAAGTGATTCCCATTGAGAGTTGCGCCACGGAAATACTGAGAAAACCCGAGTGAGTTTAACTGAAGATTATCCGTGCAAATATTTCCATATAGCTATTTGCACTGATATTACGTGAATATTCTTGTAGAATTACTAAAGCTAAACCAACACCAACATCAACAGTGATCATGGTGAGGGAGACGTCGAAGGATTCCCTTGAGGATCCACGTGGCCTCGATAACCCTCGTTTCATTCCGGACAGTGGAAAGACTTCTTCAACTCCCAGCATCAACTCACCCACGTCCCATCTGTCCGCTCTCGAACGTAAGGAGAATTGAAATGAGCAGTTGGGAGTTTTCCAATATTTTTTCATATCATTTATTGAGATAATACATGAGAGTGAAAATCTTCATGATTTATATTTTGGAATAAGTTTAATGGATGCATCATTTTTTTACTTGTTTTCATAACAATTTTCTTCTCTATTCAAAAATAGTGACTTGCAGTTTGCAATATTTGAAAACGAAAAATATTTTTCTCTATTGCTAAATTTTAATAGTAATTCTGACCCAGGACCTAGAAAAATGTTTTTTCTGTACTGCTTCTCACGATTTCTCGTCTGGGAATTGGTATTACATACTTCCCAAACTCAGAAACTTGAAAATCACTACAGAAAAATATTGTTCCTGGGCTGTTACGATGGGGTTTTCTTACTCGTGTGGTTGGCCAGTCCTCGCCTACGACTCGGAGGCCAACGCCACACGAGTAAAAAACCCCATCGCAACAGGCCGGAAAAATACTATTATAGAGCAGAAAATTCAGTATCTATCAATTATTTAATGTATCTTTTTTCGAAAGTAACTTTCTTTTTTTTCGTCTTGTTAAATAATTATTCGTATCAGTTAATTTTTTCATATCATTCATTAAGATAATAAATGAGACTAAAAATATTTATGACTCATCTTTTGGAATAAGTTTACTCAATATATCAATCTTTTACTGTCTTTCATACCAGTTTTCTTTTTTATTCAAACATAATAACTTGAACATTTTAATATTTTGAGATAAAAACTTTTCTTCTGTATTGCTGAATTTTAATAATAATTTTATCCATAGAGTCCGTTATTACAAACGAATTTCAGATTCAGAACCTAGAAAAAGGTTTTATAGAGCGGCAAATTCAGCATCTATCAATTATTTCATGTATCTTTTTTGGAAAGTATCTTTCTATGTTTTTTCGTTTTGTTGAATAATTTCAAGTCGTTTAAAACAGATAATTCAACCCAGGCTCTCAAACGTTTAAATGATGAAACCATTATAGCATCTCTGATGAGTTCACACCTATAAATAACTCAATACGAAACGTAGAGGTTTCGATAAAAAAAATCAGTTGAACTCCTATTAAAAAACTTATTTGGTTTCTGGGATTTTATTTAATTTTGGCCCGGTTTTATCAAGCCCTGTTAGAATAAATTTATGTTTGGAGTATATTTATTCTACCAGTGGACACTTTTAGGAATTCGTCGTAGAATGCTTTCATTCAGCCATTCGGTCATAAATATTGACTAAATACTTTAAAATCAGCGGTATAATTGGCAAATGGTAATGATATATCGATACACGACGTTCTTTGGTGAAATAGCTTCGATGAATTTTCAACCAAAATTAATCGGCAGACTTTTTAATTATTCCGATATTTAACTGAGGATTTTCTTAACTGGGCTTGGTGCAACTGGCCTTCATGGAAAGTTATGAAACTTGAAAAGAAAACAAATCTGTTAAATACAGCTAAAGAATCTCAAGAAGAAATGAAAAGCTGATGCAATTTCCAAAGGAAATTCAATAGAACTTTCTAGTAAAAATGCTAGGATTTTCTATCTCATTTTTTCATACGTACAACTACCGATGTTGATCTACTAAGCAAATAAAATGATCGAAAGATTTAAACATTGTCAACAAAGCTGGTCAACTACTAGCAAATGCTCATTTGACGAGGAAACAAACTTGTTTGACAGAGAAAAGTTGGGACATATTTTCATTTGTTAATGGTTAAAAAATAATCAGTTAATCCAACCAGACATTTTTCTCTTAAAAAAATGAAGTTTCTTGGTGTTTCTCTATCAACTAGGCTGAGTGTTGACTACTCATAAATTGGGAACTGGTGGATGGGTGTATGACATCTGCTGGTGAGAAAAAGAATCATTTTAAGATAGTAAACGTCTCCGCTCAATGGGACTGTAATGCAAACTGAGCCATCTTCAAAAATCAATAACTCGAGATTGGCAGAGTGAAATTCAACAAATTATGAATCATTCTCAGATTATTTTTTTTAAGCTTCGAAATGAGATCAATTTCATTCAAGTCGTATCAACATGAAATTCACGCCATAAACTTATATGTAAAGTGCTATCTCAAGACCGCAAGCTCCGCCCATCCACCAGTTCCCAATATGTACGCCTTCGCGGAGAATGAATCGACGAATATTTTCATCTAAAGTCGTGCATTCATAGTGAATAAATCCTCTGAGTGTAAAATTCACAAAATTGACAACCAACCTATAATCCTTTCCTTCGAATGCAAACAACTGGACAATTGTTTTTTCTCATTATTAGATGTGCTAATGTTTTCTGATAAATTGAAAGTTCACGGAAAAAAAAAAATTCTCGAATGGGGTTTATAATATTCCGGAATCAGAAATGTGCGTATTCCAGAATATTATTCCGAATTCCGGAATATAGTATACAGGATTCAGGATATTGAATATGGATAAATTTAAAGATAATATAAATAATATAAATATAAAGGTGAATGTAAATAATATAAATATCAAGATAATATAAAGCAGGGATAAAGCAAAGAGGGAAATTTTGTAAAGAAGGGTGTTTTGTGAAAAGGTGGTTTTATTGTTGAGGAGGGGTTTTTGTTTCGATGTGGTTATTGGCACCCATGCCGTGTCTCGTGACTCGGGGAGCGTAACTCGTGTCTCGTAACTCGTGACTGGAAATTTGTATGGAGCGGAGGATATCCGGAATCGTGTCTCGTGTCTCGTGACTGGAAGTTTATATTAGACGGAGGATCACCGAATTCGTGCCTCGTGCCTAGTGTATCGTGACTCGTAACGGTGGAACGTCTTTTCAACTAGGAGACATTTCAACTAGTGTCATTTGAACCGAAATTTTCAACTACCACATATCAAATAGTTTTTGAGTTTTGAAATTAGTATATTTTTGGGAATTAGCTGAAATTTTTTGATTTTCATTTTTTTTACTCTGCTTTTCAACAGACTACGTGATGCAACTCAATTGAATCACTAAACTAATAGATTAATGATTAATATCATACAAAGATTTAATTTGTTTCTATATTCCCACTTGCAAGAGATCAATAATTTAGTATTAATAGTTTTTTTACTTAAAGAATTTGTCACCCTTTTTTTAAGAATAATCGGGCGAGGAGGAAATGTAGGAGGTGAGGCGGAGGGGTTTCTATTGTTTTCCTGCAGAAAACCAATCGCTGAACAAAAAAGTTTTTCCCATTCGGATTCAAAATTCAGGCAATATTAGGGCGTATCTCCGGTTAAAAATTATTTTTGGAGCTAATCAAATTTATTTGTATCTGTTCCACGCATTGAATGGTTTTCAGATTGTTTTTTTTTTTAATAAATGAAAAAATATTAATCCATGCGAAAAAGTGGCAACATCGTCGGTAGTGTTTTTTTTTCACCAGGAGCTGGTACCACTGGCTCGAGGGAGCTTTAATCACAACGCTTCATCGCTCTCTCTCGAGAGACGTTTAAATTAACCGCGCTACCCCCACCCGATCGGTTCTTGAGACGTTGCTGCTCGTTTGGGCTGCGTGCGCAGAAATTTCATTTTTCAGTACTTTTTTTGCTATTATTAATAAACAATGCTCCTAGGCGACCATCTTTTTCACTCAAAAAATCATTGATCACATGTTCTAAATGTGTCTAAAGTTTCATAACTTTGGCTGTTTTTTTTCCATGGGTTTTGCAGTTTTTTTTCTGAGTTCCATAAGATCACGGGTTAAATGACCACTTTTTCAAAAATTCATAATAAATTAACCATGTTCCCCAGCAGTCTGAAACTTTGCACACGCCTTTTCCATCATTCAAAGAATACGTAAAAAATAAAAGAGAAAACTGGCTGCTTTTTTTCTAACCCTCCGGGCTCGCCCGATTATCCTTAAAGGCTGTTTTTCATTTTATATTGAGATGCATTGAATGATTCCACGCAGATAGTTTTCAATATTGTCCAATGTATTATTGCGATTAACAATTCTCTTGATTCTCGCGCCATGATCTCTGTAAGTTTTTCCTTTTTTTGGAGGGGGCTAGCCACCGTTGGCTTGTGTTCATCTGAGTTCCATTGCAGACTGTTCGCCCTTAAGGGCTTCAATGAAACGACCCATTGCAACGTGGGATACTTGGAGACGTATGTTGAAGACGTGTGTTATGCCAACCTTCCACTGCATTTGTCGTGCGTGGTTCGTTATTTTTTACCGCTTGATAACAATTCCACATATCAACTTCGAATTGTGGGGGGGGGGGGTCGGTATCNGGGGGGGGTCGGTATCGGCGTACTTTGGGTCCGATCCATGTTTCCATGGCGATCCATGGCATGTATTTAAATCTCAGCAATTGAAATGTCACAGTTGAAATGTAATCGGTTGGAAAAGTGTTAGTTAAGCAGTCGGCAGTTGAAATATCGCCTAGTTGAAAAGACGTGGATTTTTTCCTCACATCTGAAACTCCCGATATTTGAGCACCCCTCCCTATGTGTGGTACACTTACACCCTTTAAATACCTCGGCTACAATTTTTTAGTTCAATCTGATATTTTTTTGTAATTAAGATAAATTCAGCATTGGTGTTAGAAAATATTTGTTCTTAAAAACAATCCCCAAATTCATTGGTTTTTATGATCCCACCAAGGATAAAGTTTAAGAACAGGAGTTTCGAAAATCTAGAAACTATTTTCTAAAGTCAACCCATTTTTTGCTTCCGAATGGAAGCCTTGTGGTAACACGTCTTATCAACTGGCCGACATTTCAACTAGGACATTTCAACTGCGACATTTCAACTAGCCACATTTCAACTAACAACATTATCAACTAACACTCCTTCAACTAGGACATTTCAACTGGAATTTTATGCGAAACATAAACTCCAAAATTGTTCTCTAGAAGCAGATCAGCTCCTTTCGTACTCTTCACAAATGTTAACGGCATATTTGAAGGGCCATGTGCACAGTTCTATTTCTCACCAACAACTGATTCTATAATCTGATACTAAAGGCACCATAATAATGAGGGGATTATCCCTCTCCATTTGTGCGGTATCATCGTTATTTACGTATTCCGAATGTTTTTGAGAAATATTAGATATATTGAAATTTCCATTGGATAGCTGTATGTTACAAAGTAGTTGTCAAAAATTGAAAAAAAAAAACATTTAATATTTGCAAAACTTCAAATATATTAATTCACTTTTTTTCTAAAATCGGAAAACTTGGAATTTTGGAGTTTATGTTTCGCATAAAATTCCAGTTGAAATGTCCTAGTTGAAGGAGTGTTAGTTGATAATGTTGTTAGTTGAAATGTCGCTAGTTGAAATGTCGCCAGTTGAAATGTCGCCAGTTGAAATGTCGCCAGTTGATAAGACATGGATCCAGCCTTGTAATTGATAATTTTTACGATCTCGTAATTTTGCTTGGAAATGATCTAGAATGTCATGAAACGTGAAAATATAATGTTTTTAGAACATGTATGTATGTATATCAGAATGTGTATGCCGATTTTTCGGAAATTTTTTATAAATCCCCCTGAAAAAAAGACTAAAGTTTGAGCTAAAAATCTGAAATTTTGTCAGACAATTGGTATTACTTTGGAGCCTTTGTGGGCGCAAGTTCAGCTTAATCGGCCCAGTAGTTTCCGAGATATGGCAATTTCTCCAAATTCTTTTTTCCTTAAGATATCTCATAAACTACGTGACCGAATTGAAGTTTTTTTTTTCTTACGATAATATCTATCGAATCAAATCAAAATATTGCTACGTAACTAGGGTCAGTGTAGTAATAATCGGCATTTTTCATTTTTACTAGGAAAAACAAATCGCTGAAACGATAACTCGCTGAAAATTCAAGATAAGAAGTTGAAATTCGGTAGAATTGTAGCTCTTATGATACTACAGAACTATTGTTCACGAGCTGAATCGGATAAGTAGTTTAGAAAATATTCAACTTTTTGTGAAAAACTGTTATGCTTAATATCTCCTAAACTACTGGGCCCATTCACTTTTTTTAAAAATATTTGTCACGATATCTCCAATCAAGGTCAATCAAAATATGTATACCCGCCCATACAAAGTTTTTGAGATATCAGCGTTTTTCTAATTTTTTCATTTTAAAGTTAATGTGGTGTCCATAATACGCATCAAGCTTGATCTAGACATCTAAGATTCTAGGTACTAATTTGTATTATGAGCCCACAGTTATGTATAAAATTTTGTTTCCATCGATTCAGTACATCCGGGCATAGAGCAATTTATCCAAAAATATTTTTTTCTAAAAGATTACACATCGTCATTTTATCAATGATTTTCGTCTCTATATGACTTAAAAAGTTATAACAAAAATTTATGGTATTTTATATTTGATGAAATGTCATAGCTATGACAGAGGTAGAGTTCGGTATGGCCTATTTTTTTTTTTTAAGAAGTGTAAATTTTCTACTATTTTTATTATCAAAAGTACAGTCATTAGTTGATCTTGTGTTTCATGTAAATATAATGTGAATACGTTTGTCTAATTTGGTTCATGAGATGAGTCTAATTGTACGGGTTCGAAGAATCAGATATTTTGGGGCAAATACGTTTCAAGAGGAAGACGTTTCTTCTTCTTCTACTCGATAGAGTAGAAGAATTCCCCTTACCAATTTGAATAGGTTTCTGAGTAGTTATCATCTGCGAAATTGTACGGATCTATTCGGAAGTTTATTACCAATGGAATTGGTAGAAAAAAAAAGTAAATGTCACATGGCTTCTGCCAAAAAGGCTTACAACCCTGCATGTTTCTCTGCGCAGGAGTCTACTGTAATTGATTCAGGAAAGTTCCGAAAATTCTCGGGACTTTCTCGATTGAACGCGACATTTTCTAAACAGTCTATATAATCGGATCCCTTCGATAATTCTTGATCGATATGGAGTTCAAATCGAATTTCTCCCGATTTTTTCACCCGAGCAGTACCCTTCGTCGGAATCTTCGGGAAAAGTTTTGCTATCGCAAGACTATTTCCGATTGTTTTTTCTCCGTGCAGAATCCGGAGTAATATTTCGGAATTCGGGATATTTTATTTTCGATTTCGGAGACATCCCCAGGGGCTTGCCAATTTCTCAGAGGGTGGACGGAGTGTCGTGCGGCAATTTCCGATAACAAACTTTTGGTCGTTCGGAGTATTTAGGCAGCAGACATTGTTTTTCGTTTGAAAATACGAAAAATTAAGTTTTTCCTCTTCTCATTTCACTGTTAAAAAATTTTAACTGAATTTTTCGGAATTTAGCTTTCAAATATCAAATAAGTGACACTTTCACAGAAATTTCAGGGAATTTCGTTATGGAAAATTCATGATTTTCGTGGAATAATTCATGGAAATTGTAAATTTCAATTGAATTATTCCATGAAAAATAATGGAAATGAGGAAAAAACTGCCAAAAATTTCTTTGCATTTTCATTTCTTTGAAATTTCGTATTGAATTTTCATGTTCATATTGGAAATTCATGTACACTATGGAATTTTCATCTCTTCCACTGATAAATCAGGAATGGCGTCGAATTTTCAGGAAAATTTGAAATTTCATGGACTTTCTTTCGTTAAATTGAATTCAGTGTCATTTACCAGAAAATTCAGATATTATTTTTTCAACCGTGTACCCCTTTGTACGATTTCCAGGGGTTTGCCGATTTTTCAGAAGGTGAAGAGTATGTCGTGATGTGGGGATTGAGTTTTAAAGGTGTTAAGGAAAGGAATCAATTCACTAAGCGAGGCAACAGGTGCAAACTAGATAATTAGTTTATTGTCGGAATGAATCTGTACAAATGAGTCGGTATGAATATATGCAAGTGAGACATTTGTCGGTTCAATTCCCGATATCGGAACCAATGTAAGACTCCATACCTTTTCGTAATCTCCAACCGCCTCGAATCCCACAGTGAGACATTTTCCAATAACAAAGGCCTGTTGTAGATTTAACCTGAAACTACGGGGTGAAAATTTTCCTTACAGATTATTTTACGAAAAACAAATTTTTTCGTATTTTTGATTGAAAAAAAAAAACATTTGAACCCCAAATACTCAAAACGACCAAAAGTTTTTTGTTCAAAAATATCTCACGACACTCCCTTCACTCTCTGAAAAATCTGCTAACCCCTCGTGATGTCTCCGAAATATCGAAAATAAAATATCCCGGATTTGGGAATATAATATACCGAATTCCGGAAAATAATATACCGGATTCCAAAATATTATTTCGGATTCCTGAATATTATTCTGGATTCCGGAATATATTAATATCCCCGATTTCGGACTACACATATTCCTGTTTCCGGAATATGATATCCGATTCGGGAATATTTTTTTCTCGTGTTTGTTTCCGAATATTTCTACTTAGATCAGCATCCTCAGGGACTTACGATCCTTGTGTCTAAGCCTTATTTCTGTTTCACGCTCAAGAACTTGTCAATTACGATCTTAATAGAAACGTATTTTACGATTTACTTATACGTAATTTCCGAAAAAAGGGTCGTATTTTACGATTAAAATAACTTCTTTTTCTTCATTTAATTACGGATAAATAACCGTAAAATAGGGAAAAAAATCATCGCATGTACAAATACAAAACCATAAATTACGGTAATTGACGCTTCAACATCAAATGTAAAATACGCTTCAAAAGGTGTAAAAGACGACTTCTTAAACGTAATTCACATTTAGATTTTTCTGTGTGGATGGTCATGGTCTAAAAACATCATATTCTGATTCGTAAGCCCAAAATTAGTCGCCCCAAAATAAAAAACTGGAAGCGTACATATTAAAGATTACAACAATGCTTCCATTCGAAAGCAAAAGTTGAAAACGAGAAATTGCTCCTCTCTTGAATAGTTACCCATTCAACGGATATACATGATTTCAGGAGTAACTTGTCAAGATGCCCGAGCATTTACACGAGATAGAAAGCTGAGGCAGCTACTTCTTGGCAGTAAGATGCCTCTGGAGAAGTCATTCTCAATGCCTGACATGCAGACCAAGCACAAGAAGAGAGAGCGAGTGAGGGCGTGAGTTCTGAATAAACAAAAATATTTTTTTTTCTAATTGAATCAAATACCAATTCCACGCGACCCGTTTTTTTTTCAAGCTATCTCTTTGCAGTCCATCCAAACCTCATTAAAACTTTAACTCAATTTGTCGGTGTTTGTACAAACTCCATTAAATTATATATAAAACGAGGGCAGTTTATTAAATAGCCTGGTCACTGTGATTCCAACTTGAAAGAGTTTGCGTTTTTCTTTGCTTACAGTCTTCGCGACTACATGAGATCCGAGTCAGAAAAGAGCTTTGATGAGGCGCAGATAAGACGAGCTAGATTGAAATCCCTCGGCTGTGCCTACCTCAGCCCCCAAAACAAATCACTCGCTCAGAGTTTTCGATACATGAGAACAAAGCCAACGATTATAGCATTTAAAACCCCGAGCATGGAGGATCACGTGTATGTCACAACGACGAGTTCAGGTACATAAATAAAATCCGTATTTAAAGTTGGTATAATTGGGTGGAGATTATTATTTTCGTGAAATTAACCGCGAGTTGGGGGAGAACGGGGGTAGCTATCATACGCGCTGGCTAGATAACTCGATTATTCAAATAATCCTTGCTTGTAATATTGTGAAAGTTTGTTTACGCGTAATCAGCTAATTTGCCATTAAATGTGGAGAATTTGATATTCACGGTTTTACCCGATCGTAATTGCATAATTGTTGGTAAAGAAACTTTTTGATAAGCCGTTTTAATCCACTTATTCCTAAAGCCATTATGAAGTGTCTATTCAGTAGTGTCAGTAAATAGATTAATTGTTTTGTAAATTTAGTTTCACCGTTGACGGTGCAACAACGAGTGTCACAAAGTGAAACACTGACGGCAGCAGTTGAAGAGGGTAGAATCGAGGGAGCGATCGCAACGATTGGACAGAAGAAGAGTAACACATTGGACACTGAGAGTCAATTTTCATCTCATCCTTCCATGAGCTATCCCGTTGGCAAACCACTTGAGGTAAACTTTTTTATATCTTGACAATCTTTTTTTCTTCTCTCACTCACACACTCTGTCTTATTTCATTTTCTTCCCACACTGCTGTACTTGAAAAACTTTTCCAACATTTTACACTCCTAAATTCTCACATTTTCCACCTGGCCCATTCTTCTTTAGTTTTATTATGTGTATTTATCTTATGTCTCGGTATATATGGAAATTCTACCCCACTTTTTTACGCCCCCAAACTTTCTATTCGCTCTCTTATATTTGGAAATATTCTTGGATAGTTCTGATTTTGAATTTGAAGATGAATAAGTGGCGAAGTGAAGATAACCGCGGCTATGGAAATTAATACTGATTATATTTTACCAATTGCGGTCTTCATGTGTTGAAATCGTGGAACATCATTTAGCATAAATCCGAGGGGCTGGTCACTTACGAAATCACGGATGAAAAAGTGTAATAGAAAAACCTGACGAATTCGCTAGACAATTCTACTGGATTTCTATTGAACTTTCTATTAGTTCTTGGACGATTCTATTGAAATGTTCAATAGATAATATTTTATAAAAAAAAGTCAAAAGAATTCCATCTTTCTATACAACTTATTTTATTGAGATATTATCTACAGGATTTCCTCGGTTCAAATTTTCCAAGTTTTTTTGTTTAATTTTCTTGATGAGAAGAAAAGAAAAATGGACCGAAAAAAACGTGGAAAATTTTAGCCGAGGAAATTCTATAGGAAATATCTGAAGAGAATAAGTTATATAGAAAAATCGCATTCTATTGCCTTTTCTAGTGAATATCTTAATAGAATCGGCCAAGAACTAATAGAAACTTCAATAGAAATCCAATAGAATTTTCTAACGAATTCGCTAGGTTTTTCTATTGAATTCTCTCGTGCGTAATCACTGGACGACTCGATCGGAAATTAAGGAACAAATCACCAGAATTTTTCGAAATCAAGTGATTTCCATTTCCGATAGTGATTGCCAATGACTTCTAGAAATCATTGAAAATGAGTAGAAATCATAAAGAAATTACATCGTGTTTTCTCAAAAATTCTAGAATATTCGGAGGTTTTCTATAAAATTATCAGAAGTTTGAAAAAATCTTAGTTCTCTACAAAATAAGATGTAAGGCAGAATGATTACTGATAAATAAGTGTAAAAATGGTGACCATCATGTAAAAGAAAATGGAAACTCATCATCTTATCTATTAAAGTCTGTCCCAACACTTTGCACCCCTAAATTCTCTCATCTTACCCCAGGCCAATTGCCTTTCAATTTCATCATGCGTACTTATTTTTTTCTTCCGGTATATATGTGAATGCCGCCTCACATTCTTTTTTCATACCCTCGAACTCTATATTGCTCCACTTATGTTTGAAGATATTCTTGGATGGTCCTTATGGTGCGCCCTCGAGTCACATCTTTCAGGCTCAACACGCTGTACTAATCGCCACGGGAATCGGAGTCACACCTTTTGCTTCTATTCTACAGTCGATAATGCATAGGTACTGGAAGGCAAGGCACACCTGCCCCAAGTGCCAATTCTCATGGGCAAGTGAGATACCCACAACGGTCATGAAGCTGAGAAAGGTACTTGAAAGGCAGGCGTAATAGCCATTAACTTTTATTTCATTCAAAGGACAAGAGCTAGAAAAAAAGTCTCATTTTACTTGAATACCACCACTTTATTCATTTCCTCTTTACGATAATCCCTCATTTCTTTAATGCTGTTTTCCTTCTTTTTTCCTTGCTACTGAAAGGTTGATTTCTTCTGGATAAATCGTGACCAACGTTCATTCGAGTGGTTCGTAAATCTTCTCTCACAACTGGAAATAGAGCAAGCAGAATTGGGCGCCACAATGGAGAGATTCTTAGAAATGCACATGTATATAACCAGTGCACTACAGAAGAATGATATGAAAGCAGTTGGTCTGCAGCTTGCCATGGATCTTCTTCACGAGAGGGAGAAAAGGGACTTGATAACTGGCTTGAAAACACGTACCAACGCTGGCCGACCCAATTGGGACAAAGTTTTTAAACAATTGGACGATCGTAAAAAGGGAAAAGTCACGGTATTCTATTGTGGCCCACCACAATTGGGCAGAATTTTGCGTTATAAGTGTGATCAATTTGGCTTCAACTTCAGGAAGGAAACATTTTAGATGATACGATTATTGTCTCATTAGTGCAGATCATCTGTTTTGTGTTCATGTGGAAAATTTAACGACTGAAAAACGATTTAATGTGACTGATGTGAGAGATCGCGGGTAGGTCAATCAGTATGGGGAGCAGAGATTGTCCATTGATAATCCGTCGATTAATAATCGTTGGCCGTACAGCAGATAGGCATACGACACATCACGCCGCTTGGATTGGTGGCAATGTGTGTGTGTGTGTGTGTGTGTGTGTGGGTGGGCTTGAAACCCAATCGATTGCGCAAATGGTGCAAGAGCAAACAAGAAGATATTCCCATGCGACCCATCATGTCTATGGTGCGTCAAAGGACACCCTCAGGACATTCATGACCGGATGTATATGCGGATTTATGTTATGTTGATGTAGATGCATAAAAGTGTTGCAGGGAGTGGTGAAGAAAAAAAAACACGTGAAAAATCACCTTTGGTAGTTGAGAGATTCGTTTGAAGACAACACATGACAAATGACGAATGCACTGAGTTTATTGTCATGTTTTTGCTAACTCTCAAAGCCCATGTGTCTTGTTTTTTTCACTTCAAGCGTTTGTTCGACGCTCGTTTTTTTTCCTGCATTTAATCACTTACAGGTGAAACACGTTGTAGTCACGTCCAACAAATTTCATTTGAGTGGTTTTATGCATTGGACACATGCTTTATTCCCCTCTTTTCAATTCAGTGGGCAACTCACGGGTATTCGATCAACGTATTCAACTGTATCTCTTTGCCATTTCGTTTTTACTTGAGAGAAAAAAAAATACACTCTTTATAATGGGCGGGATGGCATTCATTATCTCCTTCACGATTTTACGAGATAATTTATGTTCAGTACTGTCGAATTGCCCTGGGGAAAATAAATTTTACGGAGATATTGGAGTTCAGATTCAAGGAGGGAGTTTGAGAATAAAGAGAGAAAAAAAAAATTTCGAACGTTCACCATAAAGACAGAAATGGGGTGCAAGCAAGGATCCTGTCACGCGATAGGACGATTAAAGTTTCTAGAAAGAAAAAAGTTGTTTTTTTGTTTCTTGAGCAACGGAATGGAAAAGAATATGGAAACCAGAAAAAATCGTTGACGCGTGGTGAAAGCCCCTATCTGTTTGGGGATAAAAAAATTTTTATTGTAATTCTTTTTATATTCATTTGCGGTTTGAGAGAGGGATAGGAGGCAGAATGGTTTAATGACATTTCACGTCAAAAGCCAGGCGTACCTTCTTCAATATTTCTAGGTGCATGAGGACTGGAGGTGAAAGTGAGGGCAATAAGCGTGGATGGCTGTCATATGACTGCAGTATGACGCGAAGATTGAACTAATTGGCTACCTGTTATGGGCAATGAACGTGGTGGAATTGTTTTAAAAGAATGGAAGGGGAAAATGAAACCGATGAGCTGATTTTCAAAGATTGCAACATCGTTTTTTCGACTGTTATGAGTTTTCAACATCACGGATAATTGGAATAAGGATTTTTATATTTTCCCTATATTCGATTTTTATTATTGTAAAAAATCATTAGTGTAAAAAAAACACATTGTTTATTGTCTGTTAGCCGTATAGAAGACTGAAATCATCCAGTGTACCCAATTTTTGAGCTAAACAACTACTTTTTCCGTAAGATGTTCCGAAAAAATCTGCAAAAGCCCAATTACGCATCGTTTTTGCTTCCGAATGGAAGCATTGTAATTGTTCAAATTTATGTTTCGGATTTTTTATGTTATATCAACCAATTATGATCCATGAACTCCGAATATGCTATATTTCGACCCTGTTCGTATATACAGTAGACTCCCGTTATAGTCGCGCGCCTGGGGGTGTAGGGGTAGCCGATTCGGCGAACACGACTATATTTTCTTAGCCCCACCGAGCGCCTGGTGGCAACCTAAGTTCTTGGAACTCCGGACGATAAGAAAGGAGTAAACAGAAAGAAAAAGCAGTCCGAGTGTTTTTCAATTTTTATAATTACGAACATTTTAATTGACATTTTCGTTGAATAATTTCTCCGTTATTTACTGAATGTTTCTTTAATGTATTTTTTCGTCTATATAATATAAATTTTTTCATCAACTGGAGAATAATTTCTTCGTGTAATAAAAACATTTAACGATTTAGTTATTTTTCATAAAAACTTTTTTCAATATTTTCATTAACAATTAGAAGAAAAAAGTCTAACCAACCTTTTTTTAAATTGACAATACACTTCAACAAAAACTCAATAAATAAGACTTTTATTAAAATTTACGTTTGCTGCATTTCTTTCTCATTGTCTGCATTTAATTAGAGCAGCTTTGTGTCTAACATTCTATAGAAGTGACATTTGTTCTGCACGGAGAGAAATATTCAATAAAAATTACCAGAAAAGAGTCCTAAAAATTACGTTTCGAAACGCAATGTGGGAGCGGAGTAAAATTCAATAAAAAGTGTCAATCGTCACGCAAATTCTACGATCTGTTCTGTAAAAATTACGTGACTTTTTCGTATTTTTGAGGTGACAGTCCTGAGAATTTACAGAACGTTGCAGATTTATTCTCTCCAATTCCTATAGAAATTGACTGAAAACGATTCTGGTTTGCGGATTACATGAACTGTTCCGTAATTTTGATTGAATATTCCTCTCCGTGTGGTGTTAATGCACCTTCTCACTGAATTGACCCCCACTCTCTACCTCGCTTCATTTTAATTCCTAGTAACAATACAAATAAAATACAAATGAACCTGTCCCCGCGACGGTCGGGTATGAACTGAATTAATTTTTCAAAGATTTACTGACAGTGTTTTTCGCATTCACGGTCTTCTGGAAATGCGAAACAATAGCGTATCGAAGAAAATATCGATGTGTTTACATTGGTGAGTCGAGATTGGTAGGAAGTGGGGGAAGCCTTTACACTGGCGAACAAGTGATCGAGGGGAAACGCGACTGTAAGGGGAGCGAATGTGACAACCTTTTTCTTCAAGTGTTGGCTAATAAATCGATGGAATTGAATGATTTTTTTTCAAATGTAGGTAATGTAGGTATTGTTGTTCATTCAAATTCAATCCATATATTGAATTATTGAATTTTAGAAATTTTTTAAAAATCGGTAGTCCCACCATAACTCAAAAAAAATGTCTGAATTAGTTGAATGATAGCTTAAAAAATTTTTTTGGATGTCTCATCGACCGACTTCGAAGGTAAAGGCGATGAGACATCCAAGGATTTTGATTTTGATTTTTAAAATAATTTTCAAAAATTTTGTGTTTTATAAAAATCACAATGTCGAGGATGTTTTTTGCTATCATGCTCTAAATTCATTCAATGATAACTGAAAATATTTGTTTCACAGCTACGCTATCGAGATTAAAAGGTCGTTTCGATACTTATTCTTATTGGTTGGATTATGGTGATTTTTGTAAATTTATAATTTTTCATAAATTGCTCTGAAAGGGAGCATTCTAATGATTTCTTAAAATATTATATTCCAAATTACCGACGGCGGTGGGCGTGTGGTTGGAGTGTGGGATTGGCATACGGGAGACCCGGATTCGATTCCCGGCTGGGGGGGCCGAAATTTGTGACACTCTAAATCTCACGGGTTCATTGTCGAGCGGGAGTCTCGCAAGAGACGACTACGTGGACAGGTTTTTCCCTCAAATGAGGTTTTCCCTTGTCCTTCGGTGAATGCGGTACAGGGGGTTGGGGGGTGAGAAGGGAACAAATCGTAAAGACCCGAAAGGATATACGAGAAAAAAAAATTTAATATTCCAAATTCATTCCATAACATTGATAGAATCATTCTTCCATTCGATTTCGAAAAGAATTTCGGAAATTATTCGTCCACTCATTATTTGAATAAAAAAGTAAAGGTTAAAATTGATTCAATTATCATTAAAACGCTTTCATTGAACAAATGCATGGGATAGATATATATTTGTAAAAAAAAACTGTGCCAAAAAATATTTTTGTTCAGTTTTTACTGGAAACCTTAAATTTAAAAAAAATAAAAATAAATGAAAAAGAAAGCCAAGCAAAATGTTTGGTTAAATAAATTTTGTAAAAATGTTGACTTGATAGATATTTTTGTAAAAACACTTGTTTTTATTTTTTATTTTGAAGATATTACTCGTGTTGTTGAAATAATTACAAAAGTGTCTTCTTGTCCTCGCATCTCACCATAACTAAATTCAAACTGTCCTCACAAACTGTCTTCAACTCCGAGATCCGGATATATATAGATGACGCGAAGAAATTTGATTTTTTTTTTCAAAAAGAAAAAATGATACAACACTGAATTAATTTTTCAGTTTACTCTAATAAGTAATTTGAAGTGAGAATAAAACATTTCCCATGGTTCTACAACCTACATTTAAATGCACCGGTGGCAACACTTCAACGTTGGATGTGAGGCTCAGTTGGACAGGCGCTGCCAACGTTGTAACTTGATTCTCACACTTTATAATGTGACTAGGCAATCATGTGTTATGTCCTATCGATGTTGCTAGGAGGACAGTGGCGCTTTTATGAATTTAGAGCGCCAAACTTTGATTTGTGGATTCGTTAGCCGCTAAACCTCTGATGAGGACTCCATCGAAGTTGACTCGTTCAATGATGGGATGAAGGGATTGAGGGTTTTATTGTAAATAAATCCAAAACACTAGTGCTTAGGAGAGCACGTTAAAACTTTTATTCCATAACTGTAGATTATATAGACTCGAAGCTTGATACAAACCGAATAAACTTATAAGCTCGAAACTCTGAAGGAAAAACTAATTGAAGAGAGAAACTTGAAAAGTTGTCAAAACAACAGCCACGATGGGAAAAACTTTACCTTAAACTTAAATTTAGGGGTTGGGTCCCTACACCCCCACTAGAGCAAAAGTTGCGCACGCAATCTTGACCCAGTGAAAAGGGAAGAGGGATAACTCGAAAAAGAAATCGAAAAACGAAAAAAAGGGAGAAAGGGGAACGTGTGACGTCAACAGTTTTCAATCTTGGGCGGTCAGGCCCTTCAACCCCGCGATACAATGAACAAAGGAAAACTCAACACGTGTGGACCACTTGAAACAGAACACTTTCCAAATATTCCAAAACCGAGATTTTACGATTTTACGACCATGACCGTCAAGTTTATTTCTCTTTGAATTTTGGGTTTTCAAGAAAAGTATCATTGTGATAAATCTTGGGAGAACTATAAACTGAGAATTCAACTCAAGTACTTGACATTTACGATTTCCGGCAACAGTTTTTCTCGCATCTGTAGACTTATTTTCTGTGTCCCTTGTTCATGGTCCTTTCATTCTAGCATTTCTTTACATTCTCAAATTTCAGGTGTTATTTAACTTCGTTTTATAATAATGATTCAAATCTCGCGGATTAAAATGGTTGATTAATAGCGCCATTTATCAAATTTAACGTCAGGACATCACACATGCGCGCGACCACCTTCAAGTGAACCCTGTAACGCACAATGACATCCTCGTAGTCATGGAAATCATTGATTGATCCATCAACCAATCGCAAGGCGAATGAAAAGTTAACAATCAAAACAATCATTCATTGTCAATCAATGTCAATCATTTAGAGGTAGTGGAGGTCGTAGATACGCGATGCGCTCGACCTGATGTTAGTCGGAATTATTATTATTAAAATTTCTTGGTCGATCAATCAAACTAAATTAAAAATATAATACTATTGATTAAAAAAGATTTTTTATTAAATTTTATGAAATGATGCAATGATGAATTATTTCCTATAGAAGCAGACAATGTGCAAAATCACTATTTGGAAGTATATTGCTAATTTATTAACAAAAAACCTATACTATATTAACATAATAAGTAATTTCTCACTTGTTTTGACATTTGACCCCTAAATAGCGTAATTTCTGTTCTTCTATCTAAAAAAATCCACTGAACATGTGCGATCATTCGAGATCAAAGTATCGGAACATTCATATTGATTAAGATTTCGAATATAGACAAAGTGAATCGTAATAGTTTTTCTGCACGTGTTTTGAAGAATTTTGACAGAAAAAAAAATTTTCCATCTAAAAAATTAAGGACACTTTATCGTATTTTCGATATCATTTTAGACTTCTACACGGCTAACGGACAATGAATGCTGAGTTTTTTTTTTAGTGTAAGGGACACATATGGAGATCTTCACTTCACTATTAGAAAATTACTCTTAAAAAATTTCAAGTGAAGAAGCTTGAAATTTTTAACATCGACAAAGTTACATGAAATTGCTGTATATTTCTTCATTGACGAATCAATTAATTTCTTGTTGAATATTCAAGTAATTCTCGATTTTCAGATCCACACGGCACTGAAAAACCTCGAAAATTTTGAAAATTCAGGCAATAATTTTTCTGAATTCACAATCTATTGAACATTGAATTGTATGTAACGTTAAATTTTCACGATGAGTTCGGAAATTCAAGCTTCCAGTGAAAAATCAATGATTATTTAACATAAAAAATCTAATTTTCTTGAATTGTTAGGATGAATGAGAAATTAAGTGAACACTTTCATCTGAAATTGAATTCAATCTCACGACATTAAAAAATGAGATAACGCTGTGATTGAAATTTCAAGAAATTTCTGACAATGTTCCGTAACCCGTCATAGTTAAAATTGACTGGCACCGTGTCTTCTTAATTGACTTATGAATTAATATAGGAGGGAAAATTGAGAAGTTACACAAACAAAAATTGGTATTAATTTTTTTGTGAATTAGGAAGTTTCGATGTATTTTAAGTCTTATGTCTCAGTTATTGATTCAAAATAACACCGATTAGGATGATGCGATATTATACAGAATTGATGACTCTGGAAACCCAAGGCCAATCCATTTTTCGCATTCATGAATACATTCCAGTAACGGGGTGGTAAAAGCTAACAAGTTGCTTTAGCCCCTCAGCTGAGTTTTCGAGTAATATTCCTAAATCTAAGAAGACACGTATTCAAAAATGTCATAGAAAAACCTAGCGAATTCGCTAGAAAATTCCGTCGGATTTCTATTGAACTTTCTATTAGTTTCTGGCCGATTCTATTGAAATGTTCAATAGAAAATATTCTATACAAAAAGTCAATAGAAATAGATTTTTCTCACTCTATTGATATATTTTCTACAGAATTACCTAGGTTAAAATTTTTCAATTTTTTTTGTTCCACTTTCTTGATGAAAAGAAAA